TGGGGGATAGGTAAAGGGGCGCGTGGGAGACGGGTGGAGGCTATTCTCCCCACCCAGCCATTTCAGCTGGGTCCACATCCCAGGCCTGAGGTTGAGGCATGTGTCCTCAGTCCCTTGTGAGAGCTGGAGCCCGAGTCACTAAGAGGAAAAGATTGGGGGAAGGGAGAGGTCAGAGGAGAATGGGGCTTCCCCTTCCTTCCTGCAGATGCCCTTTAAACCTGCCACCCACTCCCATGTAAAAAGGGTATTTAAGCAAGGAGAGAGCAACCTGCAGGAAGGGTTGCAGAACCAAGTACTAGGGTCAACCCTGAGGGAGTGTTAGGGATGGCAGGGGGATCTGGGAGGGGAGGGCCCTGGGGAAAGGCTTCTGGAACTGGCTGCTGCGTAGGAGGGAGTGAGAGCTGGAGCCCAAGCAGAGGGAGGACAGCTCTGAGAAGATGCTCTTGACTCTTCCCTCCCACAGCAGGATGGGGAAGGACGCCCCTGGGTAGAGGGTAGTGGATAAGCTGTAGTGCCAGACTGTGCTGAAGGAATGGGGATTAGAGAGCCTGTGCTATCTGCCCCTAACATGTGCATACACTTAACAAGTGCCAAGGGGCATGGCATCCCCTACACACATTCCCCTGACACTGCCCTTTCTTCCACAAGTGTCAGTGGAAGCAAGCCCAGCTCAGATACATGCTAATGAACATGCCAAGCCCAGACCCCTCAGACACATACACCCACTTGTGCATGTGGCAGTTCGTAGGGGGGCGGGGGTGATCACCAAGGACGAGCTTTTTCCCTGGACACAGAAACCCGATGCCCTGCTGCTGTGGAAAGAACACAGCTTTGAAACAAAACAGACACATCAAACCCAAACAAACACAAGCCCCATCACTAACAGGAGACAAGGTGGCAGTGGGAGACAGACATGCTGTCTTCTACCTCCAACTCTGCCACCGGCTGCTCTCACCCTCTCTGGCTGTCGAAGAGCAACCGCTCCCTGGGGTAGGTGAGCAATGGGCCAGGCCTCTGTTGACAGCAGGAGGGTGCTGAGGTGAGGAGTCACACACTCCTTCTAGCCACACTCCCAACCAGCTCTACAAGTCAGCCTCACAAAAGGCACAGGGCTGTAAACACAGATATGGCTATGTACAGCACCAGCCAGAAAAGCCCATGATGTGGCCTGCAGCAAACAAGCTGCACAGTCACAGCTCATGGACACACAGTTACACACAGCTAGGCAGCCACTACTCCCAGCTGTGTGCACACAGATGAGGACATACACCTAGCCTTACACACAGTTGTACATGTGGACATGGCCACATACACAGTACATGTAAACATGCAACCACACACAACTATACTTGTAGACAGCAATAATACACATGGGCACACCCCTGCCCCTAAGAACATGTGACCATGTCTACACACGGCTGCACATGTGGACACAGCCACATATATACAGCTGCTCACACAGACATGCCACAAATAGCTGTACACCAAAACATGTCCACACATACATCGCCATAATTATGGATACACGGCTGCACAGAGCCATAGCTTTTATATGTGGACACAGCAAAACACATAGCTTTATACATGAATGTCATGAACATCACCACACACACAGTTGCACACACAGCCACACACAGTTGTATATGAACAAAGACCCCATAGAGATGCTGTTAGATGGCCTCACATGCTCCTATAATACAACCATACACAGACACAAAGCACAGCAATACACACACACACACACACACACAGGCACACAGCCATCCACACAGACTCAGCCACGCTCAGGTACAATCATACCCTGATGCTCACCTGGGCACAGCTTTACCCAAGCAGCCCCATCCGTGGTTATACAGAGCCAAATGCATGAGCATGGGGGCACATGCACACACACAGGTACACAGACACTGGTAGGCACAGTGGGGCAGCCTCGCCTACTGGGGAAGTACCAGCGTGCAGGCACACTAGAGCTACAGACACAAAGGCATCCCTTGGAGGCAGACGAAGACAGGCTGTGAGCTCCCCACTCCTGAGCCCTGGAGGGTACTCCATGCTCAGCTCTCACCCAAGCCAGGCTCTGCTCGCTCTCTGGCAACTGCAGTGGGGGAGCAGCTGGCCACTGGGATCACAGAGTAGGAGGTGGAGGATCTCTAACACCCCTCCTCCCCAGACCCCAGGGTACCTGCCATGTTCCCTCTGTTCTTTGTCCTGGGGAGGGGAGGCTCCTTCCCACTCCCAGCCTATCTGTACAGCCACTCCCCGCCACCCCCAACCAAGGCAGAACTAACAAACAAATACACAACCCAAATCCAGGTGAAACAAGTAAATCATTGGCTTTATTGTGGGTCCTGGAAGCTCCGATGTGAGTCTGAAAAAAAGACACAACAGGGGCGGCAGTCCTGGGTGCTGATGCAGAAAATAGTCCCTGGCTCCTTTGGCCCTGGGAGCCTAAAGGGCAGTGAGAAGGCGTAGCAAGAGGCCTGGAGCACGGGAAGTCAGGTCCCTCAGGAACCCCTCCTCCCCCAAAGGAAGGAGGAAGAAGGCTGGAGAGTCTGCTCAGTTCCTCAGCAACTGCACTGCAGGAGGGTGCAGGTCACGGGTTACTCCTTGCCCTTCTCAGGAGCACTGGGCTCCCAAGGCCACTTGGTAGTCCCCAGGGGCTCAGTCTCAGGTTCCAGCCGTGACTCCCCTAAGGGTCCCTCACCCTCCAGGTCCAGCTCCTCAAAAGAGGAGCCGCTGGCGCCTGACTCGCTGTAGCTGTGCTCGCTGCGGGTGTCACCATCATCCCAGCCACGGCTGCTTGCCCCAGGTGACAGTGTAGCAACTGAAGTCTCCCGGCTGCCAGGGCTCACCTCCAAGCTTACAGAACTCGTGTCACTCATTGTGTCAGCTCCTATGGCCAGGAAAAGGGAGCACAGGTTAGCCAGGACCACCCCACCCTCTCCTCCAGGGAGAGGCAACACAGCACACAGTGCACTCATGAATAATGCAGCCTCCTGGGCTCAGGGGGCTCGCTCCAGCTGCCCTCTGTCTTCTACCCTGACTGGGGCTGCACAGACAGGGCAGAGGGAAAGAGCGGGGAGGGAGGGAGGAGGTAGCTGTGCACTCCTCTCCCCACCCTGAATTAGCCTCAGCTCCCTGCACTTCCACACAGCCTGCTGCCCTTCCCCCTACATTTATTAAGGGCCACTCAGCCCTGAGGTGAGGAGCTGAGATAGAACAAAGAGACTCAAGTAGTGTCCCCTCCACCTTCCCCCAACCCCATTTCAAGATTGGAGAGAGATGTATCCAGGGCCAGCTACAGAACATCACCCAAGGGCATGAGAACTGCAGAATACAGCAGGAGGCCCCTCTGCAGCCCTCCCCCATGCAGGGCTCCCAGGAGCAGCATCCAGGGAGTCAGCAGGCCCCTGCCTCTGGCCCACACCAAGTCCCCACTTGAGGGGGGAGCTGAAGTATGAGCAGGATGGAGAAGGCCTGAGAAACACTCAACCAGCTGCAAGGAGGAGGGTGCTGGGATAAAACATGTTGGCTTTCTCTCCCTATGCCTGGGCCGACCCTGAGAAACCCTTACCCACCCCACCCCCAATGACTGGTGCTTCCTGAGCCACAAGATAGCAAAAGCGGATGATGAGAGCACTCTGCTGGTGGTTGGGGTGCCCCAAACCAGTGCTGAGCCAGGCTGATGGCCCAAACCCCTTCTAACCTGCTCCTTCCACCCCCAATACATCCTCCAAACAAGCAGCCCCTTCATCTGCCCTGTCCAGGAACAACCCCTGGGTTCATCTCCCTGGATCAGAGGCACTGAATGCAGGCTGGCGTGGCAAGGAGGAACACAGGGCTCAGGCCTGCTGTGTGCAGGAATCCAGACTGGGAGAGAGTGGATCTGCTACCCTTCATGTGTGATGGGGAGAGGGTCAGCTGTCAAACATCACAGGTGAGGGGTGGGCCAGCTTCCCCAGTCGCTGTCTCCATGGTGCTGGAGCCAAGCTAGGTGCAGCTGGGGTCTGCCTGGCACCTGGACTCAGCCTGGGGCTTTCCTTGAGCCTCAGCTGGGGCCTAGGTTAGGGGTGGGAGAATTAGGAGGTGGGGGAATTTGGGGTCTCTCCCTACCCCTACCACCCACTCAGCCCCCAGAATATGCCCTCTGGGTGCTACTGGCAGAGGTGAGGTAAGTCCTAGAAGCCCAGGCTGCTGGCTCAGGGCTCCCCTCCTGCTGAGGCCCCAGGTGTGGCTCCCAGGACAGGGGCCTGTGAATGAGGCGGTAGGGGAGAAGTGGGGGAATGAGTTTTGGGTAGTTTCTTCTGACCAGGGGACAGGATGCCAGGCCCTCACTGCTCCTTAAATAATGATCAGTGCCCTAGGGGCTGCAGGCCTGAAAAGAGCAAAGGAGGGAGACAGTTTCTCCCTGGCCCTATTAAACTATATGTTCTGTCTGCCCACCCACTCAATGGCTCTCTTGGGACCCCAGGTATAGGAATATGCCTGCTTCCCAGCATGCTACCTCCTACCACCCAATTCCTAGGCTAGGAGTGTTCAGAGGAAGGAGCCTAGGGGTGCCACCTTCAGGCCAGGACAGCCTGCTGAGACGAAGACAGCCCCTGGGGACATATATACACTTCAAGCAAAGGAATTCAGCTGGAGGCCAGGCACAGTGGCTAACGCCTGTAATCCCAGCACTTTGGGAGGCTGAGGTAGGGGGATCACATGAGGTCAGGAGTTCCAGACCAGCCTGGCCAATATGGCAAAATCCCATCTCTACTAAAAATACAAAAATTAGCCAGGCATGGTGGCAGGCACCTGTAATCCCAGTTACTCGGGAAGCTGAGGCAGGAGAATCGCTTGAACCCAGGAGACGGAGGCTGCAGTGAGCCAAGATCATGCCACTTCACTCCAGCCTGTGCAAAAAAGGAAAACTCCAAAAAAAAAAAAAAAAGGAATCCAGCTAGGCATGGTGGCTCATGCCTAGAATCCCAACACTTTGGGAGGCTGAGGCAGGATCACTTGAGCTAACAAGTTCAAGGCCAGCCTGGGCAATATGGCAAAACACCATCTCTATAAAAAATACAAAAATTAGCCAGGCGTGGTGGTGCACACCTGTCGTCCCAGATACTTAGAAGGTTGAGATGGGAGGACAGCTTAAGCCCAGGAGGCAGAGGTTGCAGTGAGCTGAGATCTTGCCACTGCACCACTCCAGCATGGGCGATAGGGTCAGACCTTGCCTCAGAAGAAGAAAAAAAAAAAAAAAAAAAAGCAATACAGGGAAGTAGCATCCCTATAGCCCCACTGAGATCTACACAGGAGGAGGTCCAAGAGTCCCATGCCTGCATCCCTGGGGAGAAGATACCAGGCAAGGCAGGGCCCTACCTAAATCCCCAGGGCTGCTGAGGCAGGGGATTTGAAGCCCACCCCCTTCACCCCAATCCCTCCCTCCCACTCTGCCCACAGCCAGTGCAAGATGATCAAATATTCATCGCCTCTCTGGAGCTAAATAATACATCAATGTAGTAACAGGCACAAGGCAGCTAATCACCCCCTTTCACCTCTCAGCCCAAGCTGGGGCCACAGCAGGGAGGTGGGCAGGGACAGGCCAAGCCTTGGGCAGTCAGACACCCTGCATGCACTCACCACCAACTGCTGTGTCAGTGGCATGCACCTGGCAGGCAAACACCGAGTCCCTCTGGGGTGTCAGGACAGGCCCTGTGAGAGGCGGGCAGACCCCTTGGTCCCAACACCAGGGAGTGGGTGGGCGGGCTGGAGGGGAGGAAAACAGGCTGAGGAGCTGGGGAATGTGGGAGCCGCTGCTGCAGCCAGCTGTAGCGGGTGCCAAGCAGTCCTTCAACGCCCCTGGCAGGTAGTGTTTGGAAGGGAAGGAAGCTGGGTGGGTGGGTCAAGGAGGGGGAGGCTGGCAGCAGAGGGAGGTCACAGGAAAGTGAAGGCACTCTGTCTTCCTGCCCTGGAGGCTGCCTGTGCCTGCTGACCTTCTGCCATGTCCTGTGCCCACAGTAGGGGAACTGAAGAGTGTCTGCTGGGCACTACCAGGCAGAAGGGAGCTGTACCCCATGGAGGTAATTAAGTGGCAGATGAAGTTAACTGTGTTGGACACAGGCCCCTAGGGAGTAGAGACTGCTCCCAGTACCCTCCTGTCCAGCCCTAGCTGACACACATCTCCCTAGGGTGACCTTAGCTGTTGACTGGATGGGCAGATCATCTGTTAAAGAAGGAGGGGAGGAGGGACAGTTCCTCTCCCCACAGCCCTGTACCACTCCTAGAAGTCACAAATTCCACCAGGTTGGCCAAGGATAAGGCCCCCTGGGACCATCTGGGATGTAACCCAGCAGATCCCCTTGTGCCTGAGACAGCCCGGGGTCACAGAGATCATTGCAGAGAGGTGGGCAGGCAAGCAGCCTTCCAGCCTGGACCTGGGGCCTTGAGGCTGCCAGCAGGAGTGTGGACTGGCCCTGGAGGATGGCGCAGGGGACGGATCTCCTGGCTCCCCTCTGCATGCTCCCTGGTTGTTCCCTGGCAGGGAGAAAGCAGCTGGCTCTGGGTGGGGCCCGTACTGAGGGACAGGAGAACACTTTGCTCCCTTCCTTACCTTCCAGATCTATGCCAATCTTACTTCCTGCTGAGCCCCACCCAAGGGACTCCTTTCCTGAGCAGCCTCAGCCCCCTCCCATGAACATCAAGTTGTCTGTGATCTTTGTTTCCAAGGGTACTCCTGCTGCATCTGGAGGGAATCCAGGCAGGGTCTTTGTATCTGTGTTGCCAGGAGGTAATGTGTGTGAATCCAGATCTATGTAGATCCATGTGTCTGGGAATAGGCAACTCCACATGTGGGTCCTCGGGTAGGTGGGTCTCCTTCCTCCCTCTGCCAAGCATAGCCTGACACCCACAGTGCCAACCCAGAGAGGGAGGAGCCTCCTCAACCAAGCCCCTGGAGTCCAGAAGAGAGGAGCTCCAGGAGGGCCCCATCCTCATACCCCACCTTCTGTACCTGTGCCATCCACCTGGGTATCACTGGCCTCCACAAGCCCCCGCCATTTCCGCTCTGTCTCCTTCACCTCAGGCACATAGAAGTCTCCCTGCCGTGCCAGTGGGCACATGAAATGGATCTGGTCTTCCTGGTAGATCTCCAGCCGAGGATAGGCACACAGCTTCCGTGCCTAGTCAGAGAGTGGCAAAAGGTAAAATGAGCCCTACAGGGCCCCTGACTCACTTGTCCCTGGGTGGCCCCCAGAACTGTCTATTACCTATTCCGTCCCAGGGGCTGGTTCTGCCTCTCAACCTCTTCCAAGTTCCAAAGCCCTGCTGAGGGAGGCACACATAGATCACCCTAACAGCAGGGCCCCATAGTCCAGAGTGCAATAGTCTGAAGACCGAGGACAACACCCTAGGGCAAGCGGTAAAAGAACCCAGGAGCCTGGCACTGCTCTCTTATGTGTATATCTGAGACCAGAAATCTGTTCCAGAAGGCACTGGTCTCACAGAGCCATAAAGCTTGGCACCCCTGGACCACCCCAGGATAGGGACCCCATGTGCCCAAGCCAAAGTCTCACCTGCCAGACTTTCCATCCCAGGACCCCCTGGCCCTGACCTCCTCTCCACGCTGGACAACGCTGACTGACCCATAGATATCAGAAGACCAGTACCCTCAGTCCTTAGGCCTCCAGCCCTTGCTCTTGCGGACATGCTACTATAGACCCTGAACAAGGATCAAGGCCAGTTAAATACCACTTCCACTCCCATTAATTCCCCTGCTAGTTCAGATCTATATCAACCTCTGAGACTATCAGGTGTGGTTCCCATACCTCCTCACGTATAAACCCAGGGTTTTAGCTGATGGGGAGGAGGGAGACCCTGGACTGGAAGGGCAGGTAAGACAAGTAGATCTAGCACAGGACATTACGCAATGGGCTGATGTACCACCTTTTGGGCCCCAAGTTCCAAAAGGCACTCCACCTCCCTCTGCCTAGACACAGAATCCAATGCTCTGATGTTTATGGAGGGGCACAGACATGCCAGAGCCACCCTGAGGCGGGCAGTGACAGCCAGAACAGGGGGTCAAGTGCTTCTCACTCACGGTCTGCCCTCCAACCTTTCCTGCGACGGAGCACAAATACCCACTAAGATGACTGCAAGGCCCCTGCCCTGTCACTGCTTACCCGCCAACCTTCACAACATGACTATTTATAGCACTCGCCCCGCTCTCACCATGAGCTCTGAAATGAGCCTTCCACTTAGCAGTAATGAGAAACTTACTGCCTGGCGAGGAGAAGCCATTCCAGGACTCCACTTGTCCGCCTGCCTGGCCAACCCTAGGGTTGAGGAACCTCGTTCAACTAAAGCAAGCAAGCAAAGAACAGTTAAAAGCAAGCCCATGGATGATAAAGGGAAAGGGGAGTGAGCCTGAAAGGTTTATCTAGCTAGTACCCTCAGCAGCCAGCTGGAGGAAGGGTGCATCTAGGAGGCCACGTGGGAGGTGGATGGCCTGGCCCAGGTCTGGTTGTGGCTCAGCCTCTGACTCCACGGGTGATCCAGGCAAAGCCTTTCATCCTAAGTCTCCATGTGCTCAACGGCAAAGTAGAACACCCCAACCCTGATGCTTCCAAGGTCAGTGAAGGAAAGTCATTATTTTTTAATAGTTGGATTCAAATCTTCTTTGCCAACCTGGGTGCCCTTGGGGCTTCCTCCATCCCAAGAGTCCATGCCCCTGACACCTCCCATTTCTAAACACACAGATGGCTGTCTTTGCTTCTCTACCCACCCACATACCCACTCCAGCCTTGGTCTCCAGGAGGATGCTAAACAAGATCACAGTGTCAGGAAGCAGGAGCTGTCAGGCTCTGGGGCCCCTCCAATGCCAGCACTTAGAGGCAGGCATCTGCCAAACCTGAGCCCCACTCAGGAAACTGGGCCAGGTCACTGAGGCCAGGGGCAGGGAGGCCCCTGAAGATCCAGGTCCTTCCCCAGTAGCTAGATGGAAGAAAAGGATCCCTGAATTTAGTCAGGGCATGGCCTTCACCAACATCCTCACACTCTGGACAAAGGGTCCAAAGGGTAGCAGCTGAGTGGCCATCACAAGAGCAGCAGACATTTGGCTTTTGGGGAAGATCCCAGAGGCCAGAGCCTGTGTCCACCCAGAGATTCCAGGGACAACAAGGACCCTACCCCAACCCCTCTCAACACTCAAGCCACCTCCCTAGCTTCCCTTCTGGAGGAACTTGGCAGTAACAAGATGATAAGAGGGAGTACTGCTCTTTCCACCCTCTCCCCTAGGCTGGGCAGCACCAGGCTGCCACCCGGTGCCACCTGCTCTGCCAGCCCCCTTGTTGGCAGGCGGGAGGCAGTCTGCGGCTGTTCTGCGCATCTGCCTCCTCCGGAGAGCCCGGCTCTGAAGTTGCCTGGCTGTGGACAGCCCCGTTGCCATGGAAACTGCATCCTCCATCCTTGCCATCGCCTTCATCTCAAAGCCATCGGGGAGAATAGAGGAACAAGGGAGACAGCGGATGGAGAGAAAACCGTGGCCCTGCCACACAGCCCTTCCTTCTCTGCCCAGCTCTCCCTCCTCACAGCATCCCACACAGGGAGCACCAGGTCCTACAGCCTGTTCCCAGACCCCTGGAGGGGCAGCCTCAGGCCCAAAACTAGCCTGGTCCTACCCACTGTTACCTGGGGGCCCTGGTCCTCCCTACTGGAGGGAGGCATGGAGCTAATTAAAGTGCCATTGACTGTTCAGCCCCAAATCATTATAACACCAGGTCCTACCAAAATTCAGACTTGGGTAGAGAAGGGGCAGGAAAAAGGCAAAGGAGCAAACTTATAAGCCAGGCCCACAGGCAGAGAAGGGGCTTGTAGTTGCCCCTGGCCCTTCCTGGGAGACTGCTCTCCCTTCCATGCTCTGCCCACTGAGCAAAAACGAGTCTAGTGGGGGCTGGGGATAGAGGGTGAGGGGCAGGATGAGCTATATGCTCTGTCCCTGAGTGACCAGGCAGAGAGGACAAGCCCTTTCCCTCCCAGTCAGGTGCAACCTCAGAGGGAAGAGAGGGTGACCATGGGCTGGCTCTCAGGTCCTTGCTGCGCGGTAGGAGCCATGGCCCGGGCAATATGTCAATGAGCCAGTAAATATTGGAAAATCATTGGAGGAAGGCGAGGCCAGCTGCCTCTCCCTCAGCTAGCCCCAGGGAGCCCTTGGAGAGCAGACTGCCAACGGCCAAGGACACTAGCTCAAGGTCACACTGGGCTGGCCCCTCTGGTGAAGAGCCTGGGTGGGCCTGGGGTCCTCCTACCCCTGGCACACCCCCTTCCACAGCCCAGACAGCCAGAAGTGTGTGGAAGCATTGCCAGGACATGAGAACATGCTCTGCCACTGACACCACTGGCCATCTGACAAACCCACAGCCCAGAGCAGCTCACTCCCACACACAGACCCAAGGAGGCCATAAAGCCTCTTTCCAAGGTGGGAAAGTTGCAGATGTTCACATTCCTCTCCACCTAACAGGCAAAAGTCAGTGAATCATGCCAAGGTGCCGCCAATGACTGCCAGAAACTGGATTCAGAGTTCCGGTCCCTCAGACACACCTCTGGGCCTTCCCTCCCACCTGGGTCTTCCACATGCAGAAACAAGATGGGGACTTGTGACACCACCCATGATGCAGGAATTTCTAAGAGACCCCAAACACCAGCACTTCCCCACCACCACCCCACCCTGCACCAACATCTGCTCACCCACTCAGGAGAGCTGGTAAAAAAGGGAAGGAGCAGCTCACCCACCTCACACAGGCTGCCACAGTGCCACTGCCTCGGCTACCTTGGGGACACGCCACACACTCCCAACTCACCTCAGCCTCAGTTCGTCTCCTGGGTAGGGTGCAGGCATTTAGCCCATTCAGCTAAGGGCTCCCACAACAGGGCAAGACTGATACACCAGGCCAAGGTTTCCCCACAGGACCCACAGTGCCTCCCCAGCAGGTCTTTCTGAATTATGGGAGAGGAAGAAAAGAGATGAGAGAGGACCTGAACTATCCTCATTTAGTGCTTTGTACTCAGGACATCACCCTGTGCCCTGGCTTCATCTAGGGGTTGGGAGCAAATCGAAGACAGAAGAGGTCAGGCCCAGGATGGAGGCTGATGATGGGTCCCACTCCCAGGCTACCCAGAGGCTGGAGGTTTGCTTAGAATTAGGTGGCTGCAAATGCCCAAAAGGAGGAGGCAACGTGTGGGCCAAGGACTGGGTCACATTTCCTACCTAAGCTCTAGGCCCAGAAAGGCATGAGGTCTGGCTGAGGGGCCCTGGGCCTTGCCTTACTGTTTACCCTGAGCTACCCAATCCTATCTATCCTTCTGTGCCAGGCTGGACACCCAGCAGCTGCACAGCCAGAAAGCAGCTGTTGCATCCCACCCGATGTGGTGGCGTCTCCTTGCTGGGTGAAGTGATGCATGTTCGTTTTTAATTACAGACACCGACATGTACCTGCCTGCACACAGCAGTCCCTGCAAGTGGGGGCTCAGACCCTGGAGGCCCCTCAGGCAGCTGGTCTTCATGGCATGTGAATGCTTTGGGGAGGTATAGCAAGAGGCTGCAGCTAGAAGGTAGCAGGTTATTATTCTGCCCAGAAACTTTCCTCTCACCCCCACCAGGCTGCCTCAAAGCCTCTGGCCCAGAAGCTAGACCTGTCTGTTGGTGCTCTGGGGCCTTGCCACACCAACAGGGAGAGCCTGCAGAAGGGCTGGTGAGCACTTCCCCTCTCTCTACTCTACTCTCACACCAGGAGAGCCCAAAGCTCTGAAAATGGCAGGCAAAGGAGATAGGGAGTAAGACAGGATTGCCAGGGAGGGGAGAGAGAGGAAGTAGGACATGGCAGAGAGCACCCCAGGCAGGAGCCTAGGGCATTGGCTTGGCTAGACAAATGGGTAGCTTCCCTCTGGCCCTCAATTTGCCCAAGTATGAAATAAAGGGTCTACAGCCATACCACCCTGAATGCGCCTGATCTTGTCTGATCTCAGAAGCTAAGCAGGATCGGGTCTAGTTAGTACTTGGATGGGAGACTGTCTGGGAACACCAGGCGCTGTAGGCTTTTGGCCTATCGCTCCCTCCCTCTTTCCCTCTTTGGCTAGGCGTGGTGGCTCACGCCTGTAATCCTAGCACTTTGGGAGGCCAAGGCGG